AAACTATGTTGAATAATAGCGGTGAGAGTGGACATCCTTGCCTTGTTCCTGATCTTAGAGGAAATGCTTTCAGTTTTTCACCATTGAGAATGATGTTTGCTGTGGGTTTGTCGTATATGGCCTTCATTATGTTGAGGTAGGTTCCCTCTGTGCCCACTTTCTGGAGAGTTTTTATCATAAATGGGAGTTGAATTTTGTCAAAAGCTTTTTCTGCATCTATTGAGATGATCATATGGTTTTTATCCTTCAGTTGGTTAATATGGTCTATCACATTGATTGATTTGCATATATTGAAGAATCCTTGCATCCCTGGGATAAATCCCACTTGATCATGGTATATGATTCTTTTAATGTGTTTTTGCATTCTGTTTGCTAGTATTTTGTTCAGGATTTTTGTATCTGTATTCATCAGTGATATTGGTCTTTAATTTTCTTTTTTTGTACTATCTTTGTCTGGTTTTGGTATCACGGTGATGGTGGCCTCATAGAATGAGTCTGGGAGTGTTCCTTCCTCTGCAGTTTTTGGAAGAGTTTGAGAAGGATTTGTGTTAGCTCTTCTGTAAATGTTTGATAGAGTTCACCTGTGAAGCCATCTGGTCCTGGACTTTTGTTTGTTGGAAGATTTTTAATCACAGTTTGAATTTCATTACTTGATTAGTCTGTTCATATTTTCTATTTCTTCCTGCTTCAGTCTTGGAAGGTTATACCTTTCTAAGAATTTGTCCATTTCTTCCAGGTTGTCCATTTTATTGGCATAGAGTTGCTTGTAGTAGTCTCTTAGGATGCTTTGTATTTCTGCAGTGTCTGTTGTAACTTCTCCTTTTTCATTTCTAATTTTATTGATTTGAGTCCTCTCCCTCTTTTTCTTTTTTCTTTTTTTTTTTGCGGTACATGGGCCTCCCACTGCTGCAGCCTCTCCCTTTGTGGAGCACAGGCCCCGAACACGCAGGCCCAGTGGCCATGGCCCACGGGCCCAGCCGCTCCCCGGCATGTGGGATCCTCCCGGACTGGGGCACGAACCCGTGTCCCCCGCATTGGCAGGCGGACTCAACCACTGCGCCACCAGGGAGGCCCTCCCTCTTTTTCTTGATGAGTCTGGCTAAAGGTTTATCAATTTTGTTTATCTTCTCAAAGAACCAGCTTTTAGTTTTATTGATCTTTGCTATTGTTTTCTTTGTTTCTATTTCACTTATTTCAGCTCTGATCTTTATGATTTCTTTTCTTCTGCTAACTTTGGGTTTTGTTTGTTCTTCTTTCTCTAGTTCCTTTAGGTGTAAGGTTAGATTGTTTATTTGAGATTGTTCTTGTTTCTTGAGGTAGGCTTGTATTGCTATAAACTTCCCTCTTAGAATTGCTTTTGCTGCATCCCATAGGTGTTGGATCATTGTGTTTTCATTGTAATTTGTGTCTAGGTATTTTTTTATTTCCTCTTTGATTTCTTCAGTTTTCTCTGGTTATTTAGTAACATATTGTTTAGCCTCTATGTGTTTGTATTTTTTCCATTTTTTCCCCTGTAATTGATTTCTAATCTCATAGTGTTGTGGTCAGGAAAGATGCTTGATGTGATTTCAATTTTCTTAAATTTACTGAGGCTTGGTTTGTGACCCAAGATGTGATCTATCCTGGAGAATGTTCCATGTGCACTTAGGAAGAAAGTGTAATCTGCTGTTTTTGGATGGAATGTCCTATAAATATCAATTAAATCCATCTGGTCTATTGTGTCATTTAAAGCTTGTGTTTCCTTATTAATTTTCTGTCTGGATGATCTGTCCATTGGTGTAAGTGAGGTGTTAAAGTCCCCCACTATTATTATGTTACTGTTGATTTCCTCTTTTATAGCTGTTAGCAATTGCCTTATGTATTGAGGTGCTCCTATGTTGGGTGTGTATGTATTTATAATTGTTATATCTTCTTCTTGGATTGATGCCTTGATCATTATGTAGTGTCTTTCCTTGTCTCTTATAACATTCTTTATTTTAAAGGTTATTTTATCTGATATGAGTATTGGCACTCCAGCTTTCTTTTGATTTCCATTTGCATGGAATATCTTTTTCCATCACCTCACTTTCAGTCTGTATGTGTTCCTGGGTCTGAAGTGGGTCACTTGTAGACAGCATATATATGGGTCTTGTCTTTTGTATCCATTCAGTGAGCCTGTGTCTTTTGGTTGAAGCATTTAATCCATTCACCTTTAAGGTAATTATTGATATGTATGTTCCTGTTACCATTTTCTTAATTGTTATGGGTTTGTTTTTGTAGGTCCTTTTCTTCTCTTGTGTTTCCCACTTAGAGAAGTTTCTTTAGCATTTGTTGTGGAGCTGATTTGGTGGTGCTGAATTCTCTTAGTTTTTGCTTGCCTGTAAAGCTTTTGATTTCTCTGTCGAATCTGAATGAGATCCTTGCTGGGTAGAGTAATCTTGGTTGTAGGTTCCTGCCTTTCATCACTTTAAATATATCATGCCACTCCCTTCTGGCTTGTAGAGTTTCTGCTGAGAAATCAGCTGTTAACCTTATGGGAGTTCCCTTGTATGTTATTTGTCATTTTTCCCTTGCTGCTTTCAATAATTTTTCTTTGTCTTTAATTTTTGTCAGTTTGATTGCTATCTGTCTCGGCATGTTTCTCCTTGGGTTTATCCTGCCTGGGACTCTGTGCTTCCTGGACTTAGGTGGCTATTTCTTTTCCCACGTTAGGGAAGTTTTCGACTATAATCTCTTCAAATATTTTCTCGGGTCCTTTCTCTCTCTCTTCTCCTTGTGGGACCCCTATAATGCAAATGTTGTTGCATTTAATGTTGTCCCAGAGGTCTCTTAGGCTATCTTTATTTCTTTTCATTCTTTTTTCTTTATTCTGTTTTGTGGCAGTGAATTCCACCATTCTGTCTTCCAGGTCACTTATCCATTCTTCTGTCTCAGTTATTCTGCTATTGATTCCTTCTAGTGTATTTTTCATTTCAGTTATTGTATTGTTCATCTGTTTTTTTGTTCTTTAATTCTTCTAGATCTTTGTTAAACATTTCTTGCATCTTCGCGATCTTTGCCTCCATTCTTTTTTTGAGGTTCTGGATCATCTTCACTATCATTATTCTGAATTCTTTTTCTGGAAGGTTGCCTGTCTCCACTTCATTTAGTTGTTTTTTGGGGTTTTATCTTGTTCCTTCATCTGGTACAAAGTCCTCTGCCTTTTCATTTTTCCTATCTTTCTGTGAATGTGGTTTTCTTTCCACAGGCCGCAGAATTGTAGTTCTTCTTGCTTCTGCTCTCTGCCCTCTGGGCATTGAGTTTTTGTTGTCAGTTCAAAACTTAAGGTTTTGACCTTATGAAGTATTTTCACTTCTCAAAAGAAGAGAACTAGTAGTTAGAGACAATCACCTCCAGACCAGCCCACCAGTCTAGTTATGGAAGATCCTTCCTTTCTGTGGGACATTTGCATTTCTTAGTTTGTTGTGGGATTCTTTTCCTTGCCTTTGGTGCTCCCCCATTGCTCCCCACCCTGTTTCCTATCTCTCCACGTGTCCAGGTAGGCTGCCCTGGTCACTATGTCAGCCTTCACTGCATTGTTCTTTGGGGAACTTGCTGTCCGGCAATGGATGGGATATTCACAGCCACCCCTCCATCCCTCACTCATGTTTTGCCATGGAGATTTAAGGGACATTTCTCTGTCTCTTTGGCCTAAGGAAGGGTTGCAAGGTGGGCTCGTGTCTGTCTTGTTCACCACTGTACTCCTGCCTTTAGAATAATGCCTGGCATGTGGTCAACACTTAGTAAATATTTGTCCAGTGAATTAATATCCATGGGCAGGGCCCAAGCCCTGAGAGTTTACACTCTGATGGTGCCCACCTGTGGGTCATCCCATGGCTACTTCCTGCTGTGCGCTCCCAGCCAGCTCTTGTGTAACTTAGTTCAATCCCCTAGATTATTGGTCTGTTGTCTACAGTGTCCACAGAGCCTGAGACCACCTCCAGAAACAGCTGCCCCTCCCTCGTCCATTAGAAATCTACACTTAACCCTGGAATAGAAACTTGTGCTGGGAACTCAAGACAAAACTATTTTGTTGGAGATGCTGACTAGTTTTACAATAGGATGGGAGGGTGCAGGTGGCCCTAAATTGGTCCGTGTGTGTGTGTGTGTGTGTGTGCGTGTGTGTGTGTGTGTGCATGTGTGTGTGTGGTTGGACAGGTTCTTACTGCATGAAGGCACCATCTTTTAGGGGCTTAATTCTGATCAATAGACATGGAAGATTTATTTGTTTTGGCAAATTTCCAGAAGAGGACAATCAAGGGTTTCATTCTGTTAAAGGTCATCTGTTATGATAACTGGTGGGTCTCTTGTGATGGCAAGGTGACTTGTCCTGATGTGTACGAAGGTGCCCTGTGATCTAGCCATGGACTTGCACTTGCCTTTATCGTTCTATGTATAGAAACAGCTTTGTCTCCCCAAGAGAATGGTCTTAAGTCTGTGTGTCCCCCGTGAGTGGCTCTGTGTCCACCATAGATGAAAAAATATCCCTCCAGGAATCGCCAAGTGCCTCCCCGCCCCACACCTGTGGCCAAGTGTCCAACCATGGGTGGCCTGGTATTCAGCCATGGAGGACCAGGTGCCCCCCAGCGTATGGCTAAGTGTTCCCCCCTGAATGGCCAAGTGTGCAGCTGTGGGTGCCTGAGTATCAGGCCCTGCAGGGCTGAATGTCCACCGTGGGTGGCCCAGTATTCCCCTGTGGATGGCCACATACCTGCCCTTGGATGACTGTGAACATGGCCATTCACCTCTCTGCTCACCCCGGCACCCCCTCCGCCAGCCCCACGCACGGCCTGTTACCAGTAGGTCTGGAGGTTGAGTGGGGCCTGACCTCAGCTCCCGCAGCCCCTGCCACTTCTCCATGAGGCTCTGGGGTGCAGAGCCCATAGGGCGTGTGTGTGGGAACTGGGGCCTAAGTAGGAGGGCACCATGGGGGAGGGGGCCCGTGTGGTTGTAGGGGTGACACCCCCTCCATCCCCCGCCAGGCTGAGACCCCGGAAGGAGCAGGGCACCTATGCGCTGTCTCTGATCTATGGGAAGACTGTGTACCACTACCTCATCAGCCAGGACAAGGCGGGCAAATACTGCATTCCCGAGGGGACCAAGTTTGACACGCTCTGGCAGGTAGGCCGCCCACACACCCTGTTGTGGGGAGAGGCTGTGGCGGGGTGCTCAGGCTCCTGGGGAGGAGGGGAGCCCCGGCCCTGACGCTCCTCCCTGCAGCTGGTGGAGTACTTGAAGCTGAAGGCTGACGGGCTCATCTACTGCCTAAAGGAGGCCTGTCCCAACAACAGCGCCAGCTCAGGTGAGCGGGGCAGCGGGGCACAGGGGTGAGCGGGAGACCCCGGCCCCCACCCCCTCACTGTCCCTTCTGCTCCCCCAGAGGCCGCTGCTCCCACACTCCCCGCCCACCCATCCACATTCACCCAGGTGAGTCAGCAGCACCGTAGACTTGGGGCCTTGGGGATGGAGCTGGGTGGGCAATGGGTCCTGTTCCCAGGGCGGGGCTCCGGGCAGGAGATGGGAGGAGAGTGGGGCTGCCGTGGAACAGAAGAGGGTACCCCCAGCACCATCTCTGGGAGTCCTCAGACGATGTGGGTCTCATGAGAGGGGCTGGATGCCCCCAGCTCTGGCCCTGCTGACCCTTGCTGACCCCATGACCTTTAGCCTCAGAGACGGATCGACACGCTCAACTCAGATGGATACACCCCTGAACCAGGTGAGTCGGCAGAGATGGAGGTGTGTAGGGGTTCGTGTCAGACCAAGAGCAGGGTCCTGGCTGGGCCCTGGGGTGTGTCAGGGGAGGGACGTGTGCCAGGCCTGACCTGGGGCGGTGGGCCTGGTTGCCCTGTGCATGCACTGTGCCTGCAGGTGTCCACGTGGGCACATGCATCATGCCCACCTGTGAGCATGTTCCTAGGGGCATGCTGACATGCAGGGGAGTAGACCTGGCTGTGCCTGGGCCAGCCCGGGTACAGACACACATCTGTTAAGCACCTACTATCGGCCAGTCGTGCCCCAAGCTCACTGAGTGTATGAGCTTTGCTGAATCCTCCCAACAAGCCACATGAGGCGGTCATGGTAATTATTCTCATTTTACAGAAGAGAAAGGAGGGCTGGGAACTGTCATGTCCCTCAGCTAGGCAGTGGTGGAGCTGGGGTTTGAACCCAAGGAGTCAGGCTCCAGAGTGTTTCACGTGTGGATGTAAGCCTGTGCACGTGTGTGCAGAGAACATACACGGTTGCCTGTGCACAGAGAGGCTCACCTGCAGCCCTTGTACACATGGCTGCGTGGTGCATACACAGACCTGGGCAGGCGTGACACGGGTGCACACGTGTCAGTGCATGCACACCCATAGGTGTGCACGCTTCAGCTGGCACTATATTGGTTACTTGTGCAGACACGCCTTTGGACCCCCATCACACACCGAGACATGGGTGAGAGTGTACGTGGGTGTTATGCGTGAACATGCAAGGACGCATGTGTGTGCACACTCTAGCCAGTGCACACTAGAGTCCTCTTGGACATGGCTTCCCAGCTCAACCACAGATGGGACCAGGAGTGCACACAAATGCACACACGCACATGAACACACACGTGTGCCCGTGTGCCTGTGCATACTCTGGACGGTGCACCCTGTGCCTTGCGGCACACGTGCCTGGTGGGCACCGAGGCTGCCCTGCCTGCTCAGTCCCCATCCCTCTCCCTGCTCCTGACTTGGGAGCACACGCCTGTGTGTGTGCCCAGCATGCCTAGCGTCCTCAGAGAAGCCGCGATCAATGCCCATGGACACCAGCGTGTACGAGAGCCCCTACAGCGACCCCGAGGAGCTCAAAAACAAGAAGCTCTTCCTGAAGCGCGAGAACCTCCTCATGGCTGACATAGAACTTGGCTGCGGCAACTTTGGCTCCGTTCGCCAGGGCGTCTACCGCATGCGCAAGTAGGCTGCCCAGCCTTGGCTGGGGAACCGCTGTGGGGGGTCAGAGGGGGCGCTGCCTCCCAAGGCCGTGGGGGTTGGAGCCAGGATGTGACTTCAGGTTGCCTGGGAAACAGACGCTGGGACAGGAAATTGCCTGCTAGGCGGGGTTACCTGGGGGAGCCCAGGGCAGCACCTGAGAGGGAGTGAGAGGGGCAGGTCTGGGGCAGAGAGAAGTTGGGCTGAGCTGCAGATGCAACAGAGTCCCCCTTGTCCACTCCATCGGCTGGTCATTCGATATAGGCTGGTCACTTGGTACAGGCTGCCCCTGGGGAGGGTGACACTTTGAGCCGGTTCTTTTCAGCAAGGGGCAGTTCCTGGGAGGGGCTTGGCTGTGAGCTGTGAGCTGTGAGCTGCAGGGAGGACTGGGCAGCAAACCACAGCATCTACTACACAAGTCCAGGGAGAGGAGAGGCAGGTCAGGTTGGGATGAGGGGGCCAGGTCAAGCCCGTGCCAGCTCACACGTGTCCCTCTGTGCGTCACGGCAGGAAGCAGATCGACGTGGCCATCAAGGTGTTGAAACAGAACACAGAGAAGGCGGACAAGGATGAGATGATGCGGGAGGCGCAGATCATGCACCAGCTGGACAACCCCTACATCGTGCGGCTCATCGGCGTCTGCCAGGCCGAGGCCCTCATGCTGGTGATGGAGATGGCGGGCGGTGGGCCACTGCACAAGTTCCTGCTTGGGAAGAAGTGAGCCTCTGGGCCGGCCAGGTGTTTGGGGCTGGGGGCGTGGGCGGGAATGATCCTGTCCACCCACGGGTGTGTTCCACACTCATTTCCCCACGTTTATAGACACACTTACAGCTGCTGCCCACACTCACGCCCATGACAGATCTGACCCCAGGTTTGACTTTCGGCTCTGCCACTAACTGGTGTGACCCCAGGTGGGTTTCTTAATTCATCTGTGCCTCAGTCTCCTCATTTGTACCATGGCGATGCACAGTATTTACGTCCAGGGGCTCTTGTGAGGGTCAAATGAGTTGATGTCTATCCATAGAAAGTGCTCAGAACGGTGCCTGGCGTTGCTTATAGGAGCTTTGTAAGTATCAGCTCTGTCACAACTGCCACCTCTGTTCTCTCGTCCAGTTCATGACGCACGGGAAGTTGCCGACGGTTGATGGTCTTCGACCTGAAGCAGGGTTGGGAAACTGCAGCCAGGCTTGTTTTGTACAGCCTGCTTTCACATTTTTAAAGGTCTATGGAAAAAACAAAGGGGACTATGTGGCAGAGACCATATGTGTCCAGCAAAGGCTGAAGTATTTACTCTCAGGCCCTGTAGAGAAAAAATTGGCCCATCTCTAACCCAAAGAAATTGGTTTCGTTTGTGTTCCCTCGTGCCTCAAACTCTTACCCTCACGACACGAGGCACATGACCTTGAACCCGAGCTCTTGCTGGAGTGCGTGCCTTCACGGGTCCCAGTTCATGTACTCAGTTATCCCATGGGTGTTCATTGGGCAATTTCTCTGTGACAGGGACCATTACCAGCACTTGGGATTATCAGCGAACAAAGAGACAAAGTTCTCTGCCTTGTATTTTGGTTGGGAAAGAGAGGCTTTAAATAATCATTATAGTACCGTAAAGTATAGAGTATGTTGGAAGGTAAGTACTATGGAAAGGGGGGTTGGGAGTGTCAGGGTAGGAGGTGAGAAGTGAGAAGGTGAGGCAGCCAAGTGCAGCTCTGGGGGAAGAGTGGTCCAGACAGAGGGCACAGCCGGTGCAAAGGTCCTGAGGTGCCTGGTGTGGTAGAGGAACTGTGAGTAGGGCCCCGAGGCTGAAGCAGAGTGAGTGCAGGGGGGTGGGGAGCTGACGTGGGCAGGGAGGTGATGGGGCAGATGGTGCAGGGCCTCGTGGGCCGTGGGGAGGACTTGGACATTTATCCTGAGTGAGGTAGGAGCCCTGGACGCCGTGAGCCGAGGAGGGGCAGGACCTGACTCCAGTGTGGGAAGGACAGACCGTGCCGGGTGAGGGCAGAGGTGGCTGTTCTGGTCCAGGCTGGCCGTGATGACAGCTGGGTCAGGGTGGCAGAAGCAGACGTGGAGAGAAGTAGGGGGATTCTGGAGGGATTTTGAAGTCAGGGCTGCCAGGGTTTGCTGATGGATTGGGTATTGGGTGTGAGGAAAAGGAGCTGAGGGCAAGGCCAGTGCTTCTGAGTAAATGAAAAGATGGAGAGAGAGGAGTGTGTGTGTGTGCGTGCACGCGTGTGTTTGTACAATCAGGAACTTGGCTTTGTCTTTATTATCTTTGAGATGCCCGTGAGACCCCTGAGGGCACACAGAGGACGCAGGTAAATGTGTGAAGTCTGGGAATCCCAGTATGTGGATGAAATTTAAGGCCTCGAGCCTGGATGAGGGTAGAGGTTTGTGCCTGTTGTGCTCACGCCGTGTCCCCCCGCCCCATGCCTGGCACACAGCAGGTGCCCAATAAGCACCTGTTGAACAGAGGCTCAGCTGGGTCAGAGAAGTGGGCTTTGCCCCTGCCTTCCCCTGCACCCCAGGGAGGAGATCCCCGTCAGCAATGTGGCGGAGCTGCTGCACCAGGTGTCCATGGGCATGAAGTACCTGGAGGAGAAGAACTTTGTGCACCGTGACCTGGCGGCCCGCAACGTCCTTCTGGTCAACCGGCACTACGCCAAGATCAGTGACTTTGGTCTCTCCAAGGCACTGGGTGCTGATGACAGCTACTACACCGTGAGCCCCCGGCCCTGGGGTGCCCAGGTGGAGGAGGCGGTGGTGTGGAGGGTCCCCGAGCCCTGTCCCGGCAGCATCTCCCACCCTCCAGGCTCGCTCGGCGGGGAAGTGGCCGCTCAAGTGGTACGCGCCTGAGTGCATCAACTTCCGCAAGTTCTCCAGCCGCAGTGACGTCTGGGGCTACGGGGTCACCATGTGGGAAGCCTTCTCCTATGGCCAGAAGCCCTACAAGGCAGGTGTGGGGCAGAGGCGGGCGGACAGCTGGGTGGGGAGAGGGGCCGGGGGGGAGGGGCCCTGGTTACTCACATGCGTACTTGGCTCTGGCTTGAGCAGAAGATGAAGGGCCCCGAGGTCATGGCCTTCATCGAGCAGGGCAAGCGGATGGAGTGCCCCCCAGAGTGTCCGCCCGAAATGTACAAGCTCATGAGCGACTGCTGGACCTACAAGTGAGTGCCAGCGGGCAGGAGGGTACCTAGCTGGGTACCTGGCTGAACTGACACCCAGGCCTGGGGCAGGAGGTCGTGGTGCCCAATAGTCCGACTAACTCATCCCACCCAGAGACTCACCCAGTTCATGGCCTTTCCAACCCTCGGTACCTTTATTCCCCCTGCATCTATGCTCAGCTCTCCAACAGACTGACCCTACAATGCTCCACTGGTCCAGCACCCCAGCACCCTACCTGCGGACACCCACTGCTCCAGCATCTAAAACCTCAGTCTCCCACCAGCCAATACTCAAACGATCCTGCGACACTCAGACAAGTCAGTACTGTTACCCAAACTATGATACCAATACTCAGGGCATGGGATGATACTCCATTATATAATTCCTGTTTCCCATCAGCCAACATTCAACACCTAATTACCCATTCAGGCCAACACCAAAGCACCCAGATACTCAGTGCCCTCCCACCTCTGTCTGCTCGAAGCCCGGTGCTTGAACACGCCAACTCCTAACACCATCAATACCTCCCCTTCCTATCACACAACAGGCAACATGCACCCAAACAAGCTATTACCCTACACTAATCCTGCAGTGCACGGGCATTCCAATATTTGATACCTTTCCTGCCCCAGCATCCATTATTCCACCGGCCAACACCTTCCACACTGATACCCAAACACCCAAGCACTCCAATAAATACACGCCCTACTTATGATAAATGAATAAGAAATGATCAGCCCATCCCTTCTCCACCAAGTATTAACTCAGCCTCTATAAAGAAACAGTACACCAACACCCCAGTACCCAAAGAGGCTAGCATCTAACACCCCAACGCAATACATGGATATTCCACATGCATACCATTAATACCCTGACTCTCCACTAGCTGAACCCATCCTCCACACGCCAATGTTCCTCTCCTTTGCGGGCAGCATACTTGCATCCGTGTGAGCCCATACCCAGCACCCAAATACCCTGGCCAAATACTCACGCTCAGTACATCAACATTCAACATCCCAGCTCCCCGTGGTCAACAGTTGTCACCCCTACACTCAGGGAGCTCCCTTCCCTAAGTCTTCGCCAGCCAACACTCAGTATATGGTTCCCCTGCATCCTGGATGTCAGCTCTTCAACTAGGCGATACGGCAACCCCGGAACTGCGGTCCTCTCACACCCAGAAGACGCCTCCATTACCCGATACCCGCCCCCCACCCCAGGCCCACTGCTTCCTGAGCCCCGTGCATGTCCACCCACCAGCTGAAGTTGGGTTCTGGGGGTGTGGTCAGCAGTCTGGATCTCCCCGACCCCTCACAGGTGGGAGGACCGTCCAGACTTCCTGACCGTGGAGCAGCGCATGCGCACCTACTACTACAGCTTGGCAAGCAAGGCCGCGGACCCTGCGGCCGAGGCTGCGTGTGTCTGAGCTCCTGCCTGCCGGCCCCTACGCCCCAGCTTTTCCTCCTGTGTCCTCAGCTCCCTCCCAGGACCTCCAGTCTGGCTGAGCCCAGCTCAGTTTCTCTCCCCCACACCAGCTGGGCTGTGAGAAGGGGGACAGCTCAGGCCTCCGGCCTACACTGGTCTAGTATTCCCTGCCTGGTCACCTGGCCCCTCTGGCTGGGGTAGGAGGCCGAGACCCAGGCAAGGTGGTCCTGGGCTGGAATCTACTGGGAGGCCCTGAGCTGAGGGGGCGTTGCTTACAGCAAGGACCCTCCTTCCTCTGGGCCCAGAAGGGCGGACTCCCGGAGTTCTCAGGTGGCAAGACCCCAATCATTGGAATAAACGCAGCTTCTCTCTTGTCTGAGATCCCTCATCTTTCTGGGGTGAGGGACGGGGGGACCAGGAAAGGGGCTGGGTCATCGGAAGGGGTCCATGAGAAGTGCCTGATGGTGCAACGAACGGGCATTCCAATATTTGATACAGCTTTTCTCGTGTGGGCCTGGGGGGTGGGGGCCCTTGTGCCCCGGGGACATCTTTACCAGCGTGAGGGGCTGCAGCAGGTGAGCGTGGGGACTTAGGGGCCGCGTGCCTGCTGGCCACTCAGCTCCCCGAGCCTCACGGACGGCGTGAGACAGGTGCTGCCCGTGTTCGCGGCGTGTTATCATCACCTGGAGAGAGTTTAACACACGCGGATCCCGCCCCAGCCCGTGCATTTTAACGTCTCTTCAGGTGATTCTATCATTCGGCCCCTTCTCAGCTGCCTCCCCTTCCTCCCTGGGCCCGGACAGTCACAGCTGGGAATCCTTATTACCTGATGCCCCGAGGGCCGGCTCAGTCCCGCTCAGGAGAAGACCCGGCTCCAAGTGCTGCTTCGGTGTCCCCACATGAACTGGGGTGTTGGAGCACAGAACCCGGTGAAGGTCGGGTGAAGTGGAGCCAGGCCCCTGCATTTCTTTTCCGGACTTGCTCGGCTGCAGTTGGCCCCCATGCCCTGCAATACCTCCTCCTCTTGGCCTGGCCCCGAAGAGCCACGGGCTCCAGGGCGGCCATGCAACCCACTCAGCGCCAGGGAGAGGCAAGGAGATTTTCTGCGGCTTCTGAGAAGGTAGATTTTCTTTCTTTTTGTTTGTGGAGCTCTAGAAAGCCTGGGGCTGTTTTGTGGCACTGTGGGGTGGGGTGTGGGGACTGGGGCTTGAGGCCCAGGCTGGTGACGCCCGAGAGGAGACCCCAGAACCTTGGTGATGTGAGTGCGTTGTCGAAACCAGGAAATTGACATTGGGGTTATTAACTTAGGTACGGACCTTGCTCTGATTTTACCGCTCACGGAGTTTTAATAATTCATGGGTAAGCTTCATGTTAGCGTATCCTTTAATGAACTTTGTATTCTACCTGGAAAGTAGCTCAGAGAGCCCCTAGTTATAGAGTCAGCTCCAGACACACGAAGACTCTCAGCTCTGTGTTTGTTTGGAGACTAAATCTGTAATGGTTTGCAATTGTTTGAGGGTCTCCAAGCCCTGCCAGACGGTATCTTCCTGCATTTAGATTCGAAACAGATGAGCAGAGCACAACGATTGTAAAGATTAAGACACAAACTCAGTTCCTTCCATTTTGTCATTCTCTGCAGCCGCTTGAAGGTTTTGTGTTTAAAATGTAAAACAGTGAAGTTTGCAAGCCATGCGATATATTTTTAGTTGGTAAATGCACGTATTAGTTCATAAGCTAACTGTATTACTGACTTTGAATAGCACTATTAAAATGCAAAAATTGTTTTTTAACTAATTGTTTTAAAACTAATGAACAAATAAAGAAAATTACATCAATGGTACAGTTTCGTGGCTTCTGAAATTGTACTGTTTGCAGATATTTCAGTTTTATTAAATCCACGTGTTAGTTACTGGATAATTATTTACGTCGTTACATAAAGTATTGTGTCAGAAGGGAAATACATTTTCGTTGTCTGCATTTCTTTTGTGGTCATCATTATTATTTGTTTCGTGTTATGATTATTGCTGGAGATAACATTATTTTATGGGGAGGAGGTGTTAAAAGTGATCCGTTCTGGGGGTCAAATACATTGAGAACGCTATGTGCTCGCAATAAATGACTGTTGAACGAACCAATGAAAGAGGGTGTAGTTCCACGTATATACCACCAGGTGGCGGTGTTCCCCAAGCCAAGACCGCTCAGCTGCTCAAACCCGGCTCTCGCCTCCGGCCCCACTTTGGTCATCTTCTTCCTGGAGCAGGACCCCAGGCTCCTCCCTGGTCTCACAGGCCCCTAGTCCCGTCCCCTGCAATCCGTTCACCCCAGAACCGCTTGAAGGGTCTTTTCTACTAGCAGCTCTGACCAATTCCCTCCATCCTCTTCCAGGGTTCCCCAAACATATTCATGCTGACTCTCACCTCTGGGCTTTTGCATCTACTGTTCCCTCTGCCTGGAATTATTTTCATCCCCATTTTACTAATGTCCACAAGGAAAACTTATCCTTAAAGTATGAGTAAGTTACTGGGGGAAGTTTCTTAATCTCTCTGTGCCTCAGTTTCTTTGGGTGGTTTGGCCAGAAAGAGAAGGTAAATCCAGGTCAAGGAGTTAGAAAACCTGCAGGGGAGTGTCCTGGGATGTAAGGAGAGAAAGGCCTCCCCTTCCTCCTGCCCTCCAGGGGTAGGGGGCTCTGGCTTTGGCCAACCCAAGCCTCCTTGATGGGTTCCCAGTGGCTGGACGAGAGGGTCTTCTGCTCTCCGCGCCCTCCCTGGTGGGGATGTTTGCACCCTGCTGACCCCCTGAGCCAGCCTCTGGTCCCTGAGAAGACACCAGGTGTGTGTGTCGGGGGGTCAGTTCCCACCGGCAAGCTATGAGCTGCAGGTGGGGCCTGGGTGTCACCTTTATGGAAGTGCTGGTGACTCCCTCCCACACTGAGGAGCTTGGAGGCTGCATGAGGCTCACGGGACTCACTGCGACACAGCCGGGAGGGAAGCCTTGTGTGCAGGTAGGGACCTGGCTCAGCCCACTGGCCTTCAGGGGGCTGCGGGGGTCCTTGGGGTGGCGTCCAGCATTACTTCTCCTCGCCCGTTTCAGCCTCTCTTCCCAGCTCTGTCCTCCCCACTCTGTCTCCCTCTCTGCTCCATCTCTATTTCTCTGTGATAGTCTTTTCAAGTCCCTTAAGAAGAAAGAGCCTTCCCCCCTCTGCCTCTTTCTGTGTCTCTCTCTGTCTCCTTGTCTCTGCCCCTATCTCTCTATCCACTGTTGTCTCTGTTGCCCCTTTTGACCCCATCCTTGGGCTTCTCAACCCTGAGGGTCCCTCCCCTCTCCTCCTCCCTGGGTTCTGCTGCTCCTGACACCAGTGCCCCGAGAGGGAGAAGGAGGCTGCTGCCCAGGGAAGGGACAGAGGCCAGGGCCAGGTGCCCAGCACAGTTGCCCCATGGAGCATCAGACCCCAGTGCTGAGCTCCATTTTGGAAGGGTCTTTCTCACAACCATCTGGTCCTCATGGCCACCTTCTCCCCATGGGCCACCTCTTCCCTTCTTGCCCTTTCTCATCACCAGACTCTGACCTCCTTCCTGTTTCTTTGTTTCTTCTGTGGGTGTCACCCCCCCCCGCCTAGTCCTCTGGCCCATGGCCCGGCTGCCTACATGCTGCAGCCGCTGGGGCTGCCTGTTGTTCACCAGCCACGGCCTGCTTGATGCTGACTGAGTGCCAGTCCTAGGCCACGTGCACCTCCGCAAAGGCTCTGTTATCTTTGGTCCTTATATTATTGTTGGCTGGGCAGGGGGTGCGCTTGGGGACTCGGAAGACAGCGCTTCGGGGGCCAGGGAGTGTCCAGCCACTGTGTGGCTCTAGGGGTAGGTGTTCGGTGTTCTTGGGCTTGGCGGTAGAGGTGAGTGAGGCTTGTTACCGGGGAGTCCCGCTTTGCCGTGGGGGTCTGACTGTCGTGGGTAAGCAGTTGTTGTAAAGATCTGGGGTAGCTGCACTGGTACAAGGCTCAGGCTGCTGGGTCTGTGTGGGGTGTTCCATGCCCTGGTGCCATGTGTTGTTCCTGAGCTGGGCTGTTGGGGGTCAGTGGTTGTCCTTGGCTTGGGGAGGCTGGCTGCTGGGGTGCCTTGTTCCGCACAGTTGACAGCTGAGGTCTGGGCCGGCTGCTGGGGAGTTCCAGCTGCTGACTTAGTGGTGAGTATGTGTTGCAGGTGGTCAGTGCTGACAGACCTCGGGCAGTTGTCTGCTGGAGTCTGGGTGTTGTGTGGGGCGTGTCTTGGGGGTGTAGTTAGTGGAGATCGGCTCCCCGCATCTTTCCTTCTTCCTGTGTTTTTTGTTCTCTGTCCACATCTCTCTGTTCTCTCCATCTGCGCTTCTCACTTCCACTCACACGTGTTGAGCACTTACTGTATGTGTGTGTCAGTTGTAGCAGGTCTCTGGGGGCTCTGGGCCCTGCTCCCGAGGAAGAGGTGGGACCCCCTCCCCTGAAGACTGGCCCTGGGGCTGGAATCGTTGGTTCAAGTGGGGCAGAAGGGCTGGATGCTGTGTCAGAGGCCCCTTGATCAGGCTCCTTCCCTTGAACTGTAAGCCCCAGTCTGAGGGGGCTTGGACAGGCCTTGGATTTGTGGGGTCAGGGGGGTCTCAGCCACAGACTTTGGGCAGGTGCAGGGACTTTCCCCTAGGGACAGAAGAGTTGTGGGCATCAGGAGAGAAAACAGCCATGCTGATACCTGGTGGGGAGAGTGTTCCAGGCGGCAGGAAGAGCTTGTGCAAAGGCCCTGAGGCACAACGAGGAGGCCAGTGAAGCTGGGCAGGGTGAGCAAGGGTCAGGCGGGAGGGGTGGGGGCAGAGTGTGCAGGGTTTTGTTTTCAGTCCAAGTGAAGTGTGAACCTCTGGGGCTGAGCACACACAAGGCTCTGAGCACAGACTAGCCCAGGCTCCACACATGGTCCCTGCGTGATGCCTACTGTCATGGTGGATGTAGTGTTGGTTGAGCCCAGGTGGGACTCATTCTAAGGCTTTCATGTACCAGGAGCCTTCTCAGCGTGAGAGTCACAGCCCCCGAGGGCTTCTGAGGAATGGACTGGGCTACCCTAAGCTGTGCGAACAGCCCCTGTGCACCCCCCCGCCCCCCACCCCCCCGCCGCCAATCTCCCCTGGGCAGCCTTCCGAGCAAGAGGAGAGAATACAAGGCACAAGGAGTAGCTTGGGGCAGAGGGCACTGGACAAAGGCCTGGAAGGAGGACTGGCTTTGGCCTAGGCTCCCTAGGTGTGAAGCACAGGGGCTGAGGGAAGCAGTTTCTGACATCTTCTTGCATAACTTCCTGTGATGAGCAGCTCATTACCTACCAAGGCAGCCCAGGCTGGTTCGTGAACTAGAATTCTCAGAATGTTCTTTCAAATGCTGACCACAACCTGGACCTCCACCCCTCTCTTCATGGTCCCGAGGCCACCCAGAACTCAGCTCTTCCTCCACATATCTCACTCCTCCAGTATTTATCATGTGCCTGTTCTGGAGCTGTGTGTCATGGGTACACAGACCCCGAGTGATTGCTGCGGTGATGGTGGAAGGCCATGGGGCCCTGGTGGCCCAGAAGTGGCTCCTGACCTAGCTGAGAGGGGGTCAATCTGGTGGACTTCCTGTCGGAGGTAACGTCTAAGCGGAGTCCCCTGTAGGATGAGGGAGATTTGGCCATGGAAGAGGTGAGGAAAGAGTATTCCAGGCACAAGCAGCAGCATATGGAGGAGAGAGAACATCCTTTTGGAAACCAAAAGAGGTTTTGAGTGGCTGGAGCACTGTGTTTGCGGGGTGCAGCTGAGGCCAGCAAAGGGATAACAGGAACCCTGGAGCAGTGACCCTGTGGGAGACAAGTGGCCTTTTCTTTTGTATTTCCTGGTTGCTCTACAAGGAAGCAACTTATTCCCCCACCCTCCCATGGCTGCAGCCTTCCTAACATGGGTTTTATAACTTTTTCCTCTTCTTTAAAATTGAAGTGTAGTTGATGTACAATATTATATAAGTTACAGGTGTGCAATATAGTGATTCACAATTTTTAAAGGTTATACGCCATTTATAAAATATTGGCTATATTCCCTGTGTTGTACAATATATCATTGTAGCTTTTTTTTTGAATTTTATTTTATTTTTTTATACAGCAGGTTCTTATTAGTCATCAGTTTTATACACATCAGTGTATACATGTCAATCCCAATCGCCCAATTCATCCCCCACACACACACCCCCACCACCACTTTCCCCGCTTGGTGTCCATACGTTTGTCCTCTACATCTGTGTCTCTATTTCTGCCCTGCAAACCGGTTCATCTGTACCATTTCTTTAGGTTCCACATATATGCGTTAATATACAATATTTGTTTTTCTCTTTCTGAATGACTTCACTCTGTATAAAAGTCTCTACATTCATCCACGTCTCAACAAATGACCCAATTTCTTTCCTTTTTAGGGCTGAGTAATATTCCATTGTATATATGTACCACATATTCTTTATCCATTGGTCTGTCAATGGGCATTTAGGTTGCTTCCATGACCTGGCTATTGTAAATAGTGCTGCAATGAACACTGGAGTGCATGTGTCTTTTCTGAATTATGGTTTTCTCTGGGTATATGCCCAGCAGTGGGATTGCTGGGTCATATGGTAATTCTATTTTTAATTTCTTAAGGAACCTCCATACTGTTCTCCATAGTGGCTGTATCAATTTACATTCCCACCAACAGTGCAAGAGGGTTCCCTTTTCTCCACACCCTCTCCAGCATTTGTTGTTTGTAGATTTTCTGATGATGCCCATTCTAACTACTGTGAGGTGATACCTCATTGTAGTTTTCATTTGCATTTCTCTAATAATTAGTGATGTCGGGCAGCTTTTCATGTGCCTCTTGGCCATCTGTATGTCTTCTTTGGAGACTGTTTAGGTCATCTGCCCATTTTTGGATTGGGTTGTTTGTTTTTTTTAATATTGAGCTGCATGAGCTGT